GATGTAATCCAAAACTGATATTGCCAAATTGTAGATACCTTTGTGTTATGATATATGATTTAATATGTGAAAAACCATGCAAATAAAGATGTGTGTTAGAAACAAAGCTGCTTTATGTACTTTATAGTTTTTTCTTACATATGTGCATAGGGACAGACATACTTGCTCATTACATGCATATATAAATGTTAAAATTTTCAGCAGGTGTGAGCAGATTGCTTTCATGTCAAACCTAAACGTAGCTTGTTCTATGCACCATCTTTCTCCTCTCAGCTCATTTACTTTAGTAATGTGGTTTCTAGTTTCAGTATGGTCACAAAGTTATTACTACAAGCTGTACTGAAGCAGCTAGATTTAGTAGAATTTGAAAGCCTTGTTAAAAGCATGTAAAAAACTCAGACAAAATCCACAATCACTACAGCATCACCCTACCAGGTTGTCCAGCATTCTCATGAGGGCTTCAAACTCCTGCTCCCCAACAAGCCACTTTGGGTGTGTAACTCCTTCTCCAGATGGTGACTCAGGTGCTCGGGATTTCTTGTATTTGCTGGGGTCTAGTAGTACTAGGTTGTCTGGACCTCCTGCACTGGCCAGGGTGCGTACCTTGAGACATAAGGGGACAAATTACCTTCTACTACAGCACAATTAGAGCAGGTTTATAACCATTACTTCACAATTCAGTTTTTTAAAGTGTTTCATTTTAGGATCAAAGTGATCAGTCTCCAAGGACTGGATCAAACTGTGTTGTCCTCATTTAAAAGCATAATGTGCAAAACACTTGTAGTTGTCATCCCATCCACAAATGTCTATTTGTTCTGGAGCAGCGGTTCTCAACCTGTGGATTGCGACCCCTTTGGGGGTCGAACGACCCTTTCACAGGGGTCCTCTAGGACCATCGGAAAAACACATTTCCAATGGTCTTAGGAACCAAGACACCGCTCCTCTATCCGTCTCCAGGCGGGTCCACCCACATGCAGATACGCCCACATACGAGTACCCAGCATGATGACACAGGTGTATGTGACAGGGTTGGCGCCATAAATGTACTTATGTGGACCAGTCACACATGTGTAAAGAGCAGCTAACTGTGTGGAAAGCAGCTGCTGTGTTGAAATCAGCTACTCTGTTAAAAGCAGCTACTGTGTTGAAAGCAGCAGTATTGGAGGTAAAACGACACTTCATGAATTATAAATTACTGGGTAAATGTAAAATCATGTACTGTAAAATCATCAACTACTGAAAAAAAAAATATGTTCAATTTGTAACAATGAAAATACATCCTGCAGATCAGATATTTACATTACGATTCATAATAGTAGCAAAATTACAGTTATGAAGTAGCAGCGAAAATAATTTTATGGTTGGGGGTCACCACAACATGAGGAACTGTATTAAAGGGTCGCGGCATTAGGAAGGTTGAGAACCACTGTTCTGGAGTAATACTGTCTATCCCCCTCGTGACGTCACTGGTCCCTGAGCCAATCGACACACATTCTTGGCATTTTGGCATGCCAAGATATAAACCATGCCTATGCCAGGATGATGTCAGCATAGATCTCTAACACAGTCAGTCACTCTCTACAAGTCTAGATTTACTTCCTGAAACACCATGTGTCTAGCAATGTCAGAGGGGTTGAGAAGTTTTCTTTACAGAGCCACATGATTTTATATGGCACTTGTGTTAATGCACAGGGGGGTTGCCTCTCAGGACATTTATGCATGCCAGGAACCTGAGCAGATACAGACACTGCCCCTTCTGCATCATCCATGAGGAAACGTCTTACCACGTTTTCTGGGAGTGCTCATTTGCTCAGGCCCTGTTGGGGGCCCTGGAACCTGAACTCAAGGACTTTGTGCCACAGACAGCCATCACTCACTTTGGGGTGTTGAATGGACTGTTCTGTGGAACTTTCTCTCTGGAGGACATTGACAGCGCCTGGAGGGTGCTGTGTTGCTTTAAGGACGCTTTATGGTGCGCCAGGAAGCGCCTCATCCACCAGCGGGAGAGGATGTCCATTGAGGACTGCCGCAGACTGATCCTCAGTCTGCTCAGAGACTATTCCTTGATGGACTTTCAGGAGGAAGAGGACGTCTGAAGATTTCCCCCTTCCCCCTACTCCCCCTTGCGTGTCTTTGTCTTTTCAATAAAGCTTCGGGCCTGTGTTTCCCCCCCCCCCTCCCCCTCCCCCCCCCCCCCCGCACACCCGATGCCTATTGTGAATCGTGATTTTCAGTTTATCGTTTTTCTGCATGACATAGTGACTAGGAAATGTATATTGTATTAGGATGCTACAGTTTTTGGGGTAAGCGGCGTCATGCAGGACGTGGTGGTCCGGGGGATACATCCTCCGTGCACATCACGTCAGGCATCATACCGCTGAGCGAATGTATTTATTTCTGAATGTATTTATCGTATGCTTGGAACTGTATTGCAATGTGGTGCGCTGCGTCGCAGTACAGGGTGAGATGTACCCCGATTACACGTAACATGTTGTTTTTGATGCTTCTGCAATAAAAGTATCTTTTCAATCAAAAAACTTGTGTTAATGCACTGTGAAAAGAAGCCTTGCTGAAGCTGGATCGGACCATTTTGTAGTGTAGGATTTGTCACAGACAGCAGTGGAGGATGGAAACATAAGGAAACAATCTCTATCCCTGAGCTGATTTTTTATAAAAGTATTCGGTATTGTTTGCCAAACTTTAAAGTGGTTATAGAGCCTAAAAATTTCCTTACCTTAATGCATTCCTTGCATTCAGGTAAAAAATGTTTAGGCACACAAAACACACTGCAAAAGCAACCCAGGAGCTTTTGAAGGAAAAGAAGTGGAATATTCTGCAAAGGCCGAGTCAATCACCTGATCTCAACCCAATTGAGTCTGCATTTCGGTTGCTGAAAGCAAGACCCACAAAGAACAACTGAACACAGCTGCAGTCAGAGCCTGGCAAAGCATCAGAAAGGAGGAAACCCAGTCTTTGGTAATGTCCATGGGTTCCAGACTTCAGGCAGTCATTGCCAGTAAAAGATTCTCAACAAAATAGTACAAATGAACATTTTATTTATTATATTCAATTGTCCAATTACTTTGGGTTCCTTTGAAAAAAGGGGGGATGGCTACTAAGAGCTGTAATTCCTAAACCCTTCCTCCAATTTGGATGTACATACCCTCAAATTAAACCTGAGAGTGTGCACTTTCAGCCCATATCCATTATAGAACTATAGCTTGAATATGTTTTGGTAAATACCTGAAGAAACTAAAATTGTGCCTGTGTCAAATATATATATATATATATATATATATATATATATATATATATATATTTTTTTTTTTTTTGTACATATTCGCAGCCTTGGTTGTCAATCCCAAGTCTCCCAGCCATTTGCTGTAACTGTTTATAAAGTATTAGCTGGAGTTTGGCTTCAATTTGTTAGTGTACCTAAATCTGCTAGTACATCAAAAATTCTCTTTCTCACGGGGGCAGGAAGGTGTGGACAGCAGACTGACCTGGAGCAGTGGCTCTTCAGTTTTGATCCTCCGGATATTAATTTTTTGGTTTTGGGTTTAACCGCTTCCATACAGGGCACATTTACCCCCTGCCTGCCCAGGCCATTTTTCAGGTTGCAGCGCTCACACTTTGACAATTGCGCGGTCATGCAACACTGTACCCAAACTAAAATGTTATCATTTTCTTCACACAACTAGAGTTCTCTTTTTGTGGTATTTAATCAACACTGGGGTTTTTATTTTTTGCTAAATTAACAAAAAAAAGAACGAAAATTTAGGAAAAAAAAAAAACACGTTTTTCTGTTTCGATTATAAAAGTTTGCAAATAAATAATTGTTCTTCATAAAATTAAGCCAAGATGTATTCTACTACATTTCTTTGGTGGAAATAACCCAAATTAGGATGTATTATTTAGTTTGTAGGAAAGTTATAGAGTTCACAAACTATGGGATATATATACGGCCAATCTAATTTCTTGAGGTCCAAGACTGTCAAAACAGTACAGATATCCCCCAAATGACCACTTTTTGCAAAGTAGACAGTCCGACGTACTTCATAAGAGGCATGGCGAGTTTTTTGAAGTCATAATTTTTCAGAAAATGAAAAAATTTTCACTTTTTTTTTTTTTTTTTTACATACTGTCACCAGTGCAGTACAGCATCATTTTTTAACTGGCATGGTGGTGAATTTTTATAAAAAAAATTTTCTCTTAAGATTTTGTTTCATATTTCACTATGCCCAAAGTAGTATAATGTTATCATAGTAACATTGGACTACTTTGGGGAAGTGATCAGTATTTTTTTTTTTTTTTTTGCTTATAGCAAAGACTTACTTTGCTATAAGCAAGCATTTACCGGAATAACAGATTCATTCAGGGTTTTTTTTTTTGTGCTTAGGTGTGATTTGGCTGCGGTTAAACACATGACACAGCTGGGCTGTGATTGGCCCAGCTTGTGCATGTGATCGCTGTGACAATTTACAGCTAAAAACACTTTTATACAATGGATGGCATGAAAGGAAGCCATTCATTGTATACAACTGTCATGTGACCTGCTGTGATTGATCACAGCAGGTCACATGGTACTGGCAATGGGGCCGGTACACAGATCTGTCATCGGCTGTGTCCGAGGTACATGGCCGGTGACAGATCGCGCCGCAGAGCAGCCCTTCAGGCAAGCGCACTACGCATACCTGAAAGGATGCCATATGGCGTCCACCCGGAGGGACTAGCTGTTCGCCCGGCCGCCATCTGGCTATAGGCCAGGCGGCAACTGGTTAATAACGTTTTTAACCAATGTTGAGAAAGATTCAGATTATGCTTCCCAACTTTGATCAACTATATGCATTCAGATGTCTAAGGCAACCCAATAGACATTAGATGACATCCTGACTTACCATTCTAACAAATGATCGTTTCATTAACGTGCAAGCCGTGAGCTGTAAATAACGTCTACAGAGGATAGAGAGAACAGACAGATGCACCGTTGTGCTGGCCTGTGCCCAGGTTAAATGGTTGGGTTTAGCCAAAGATCCAACACAGCTTACTATATGTTTCCAGATAATCAGTTCAGAGTGTCTGTCTGCCAGAAACATGACTTTCATCTCAAGATCTGGCCAAATTCAATTTAAATTTTTATTAAGGCATACATTAACCTCCCTAGCGGTCTGATTATGTCAGTATTTCTGTGCTGAAAGCAGTACCACTATTTTGCATGGAAATATGTAGTTTTTTTTTATTGTAGACCTATAATTTTTAGGAATAACTCACTGAAATCTGTCCGAACAAGAGTCTAGTAAGCATCCCGGGTATGTTAAAATTTGAAACACGAAATCGTAAATTATAATTTAATAAATAATCATAAAAAAATACTATAATAATAAATTTAATTCAATAATGTAATCAAACCAAAAACACTGAAATTTGAAAGAGCGCCAAGTTCGCACATCACTGAGCAAAGTTGCAAAATCGTTTTCAGTGTCTGATGACGAATTTCCCCACAAATCATTATCACCTAATTCTGCAAGTGGTTCTAATTTACGATCGCTGTTTTCTAGCTGGTCTAAAACCAATTTTGACCTAAAGGGATGCATTTTGGACACCATGGACATTTCTCAGTTTCCAGGCAGAAAACACGGTAAAAATGCAGGCAGGGCACAGGGCAAAGCACTCGGCACAAAATGTATGTGAAATGGTTTGATACAGTAATGTTTTACTATGTGATTTTAGGGTATTTAGTGAATTTCACATTTTGACATTTTTAAATTTCCCGCCAGTTCCGTCCCCGTACGTCCCGACGCTCGCAGGGAACGGAACCCAGAAGACAGATGCCGGCATCAGCCGGGGGACATGGCCGGGGATGCTGCAGGGGGGACATCACAAGAGCGAAGGACAAGGTAAGTGCAGAAGAGATCCCGGTGCAACACTGCAAGGTATTCCTGAGTGTAGATCGGGGTTACTGCTTGTGGTACTGAAACTTTACCCCGAGCTACACTCGGGAATACCGCCAGGGGGGTCAAACAATTGTAGGTGTTTCAGAGGTAATAAAATATTTTGGGGAGAAATGACTGGGTAAATGAAATTTTAAATATTTACTTACCTGAATTTCACAGGCAGACACAAGATTATGAATATAATAGAATGCTTCTTCTACGGTCTCTCCCATAGTTACTAGTCCATGGTTTCGAAGTATTAGTACCTGGAACAAATCAGACACAGGTATTCTACAAACCATAAACAATGGAGGAAGAACTAAATAACATGACATTAAGGAAGCACTCACTTTACTTCTAGGACCCAAGTTCTTTTGAATTAATACTTTTTCTTCTTCATCAACTAGTATGCCATGATAGTCATGATAGGTCACCTCTCCTAGACACAAGGCTTCCGGAGACAGCGGCAACAAGCCGCATTTCATTGCAGACACCTAGAGGATATAAAAAGGTGGGAAATTTAGTTATTTAAACACCACAAGACATATATCACTAGAAAGCATAGCTTACACGAACACAGGTACAGAAAGTGATGAAATCTCTCTCTGGGCACATTCCGTACCAGAGAGAGAAGAATCAAGACACATTGAGTACAAGCAGCACACTTACACAAAGTTAGAACACATTTAACCCCTTGATCACCCCCCCCCCCTCACAGTTAACCCCTTCACTGCTTTGTCACCAGTGTCATTAGTACAGATTTTTTGCTGATCACTGTATTAAGTGTCGCCGGCGACTTCAGATAGCGTTAGCGTCCCTCCCAGATGGCGTCAGATTGCCCCTCAGTACTCCAATAATCACATTTAACCCCTTGATTGCCAGGAACACTTTCATATACGCAATAAACCTCCATTTCTAGTATAGTGTTTGAAGGGATCAATATCTTTGATCAGATCAGCACTATACCAGCGTTCACATTAGTATAGTGTCCCCAAAAATGCAGCGTTAGCAGCATCAGCCCCCGAACCTGTGTTTAGCCCCTACACTTAAACCCCCCCCCCTTCCCCAGCAAGTGCAGTGGCAGGTCACTGTCACTTGATACATTGCACACAAAACCGCAGTGTTCGCAGGATCAGACCTGATCTCTGTTAGCACTTGCCGGTAAATTTTTTTGCAGTGGTTCAAGAAGTCCCTGACAGCCAGGTGCTCTTTTTTTCCCCGTGAGTCGAACTAAGTACCTATAAATTTAGTGGCCAAAATGTCAATGGAAAGGTACTCTAGTGAAGAGGCCTACAGGATTCTGAGCATGTCAGGTGAGAGCGAAAAGGAAGACTCACTGACACAATCAGCCTCAGAATACGAACCTGTAGACAGCAGTGGCACCCTGACAGATAGCTCAGACGATGAAGTAGAGGTCCCTGCTAAGATCAGGCATACCCGACCCTGTTCCCAGGTTGCTGAGATGTTACAATCGCATGATGACTCTCATATGCAGCAGAGTGCCAGTACTAGTGCCAGTCTACCTTTTGGTGAACTGGCGAGCACCAGTGGCCTAGTACATCCTGGTCTTTTACATACCAGCACTGCAGTATCACTTGGTGACGTGGCGAGTCCCATAACTGCAGTACATGCAGGTGCGATGGCAAGCACAAAATAGTGTCCCGCAGCCACCAAGAATTCGCACACAGGCCCGTAGAGCCCCTAGTATCCTTCCGGTTGTGCTTGCAAATCCCGATTGGCAGCCCACAAATTCTGCAGCACCCGTACATCCCCCATTCACTGCCCAAACCGGAATTCAGGTGGAAACAGCAAATTTAAATACTCCCCTTGAACTTTTGGAACAGTTTTTCACGGAAGATCTGTATACATTGATTGTGGATCAAAGCAATTTATATGCACAACAGTTTATCACCGCCAACCCAAATTCAAACCTTGCCAGACCATTCACATGGAAACCCATTACAGTTTCCAAATTTAAAGTTTTTTTGGGCCTAACTCTCAACATGGGCATTGTGAATTGCGGTTGTATTGGTCCACAGACCCGATTCATCATATGCCCGTGTGTTCGGCTGCCATGGCCAGGCATAGCTATGAGAGTATAATGCGTTTTATGCATTTCAAGGACAATACACTGTCGTCCTTGGGGTGACCCTGAATTTGGCCCCTCGTAAATCACCTTAACCAAAAATTTGCAGATGTCTATACTCCCCAGCAAAACATCTGAGCTGATGAGTCCCACATTAATTTTTCTGGCCGCCTTGCATTCAAACAATTTCTCCCCAGCAAGCGTGCCAGATATGGGGTCAAGATGTATAAGATGTGAGAGGGCAAAAGGCTATACATATAAGTTTCGGATTTACGAGGGAAAAGATAGTCACATAGAGCCCCCCAGATGCCCAGACTACATGGGGAGTAATGGCAAGATAGTCTGGGACTTGGTGTCATCCTTTTTCCCATATGGGGTACCACTTATACGTGGACAATTTTTATTCAAGGGTGCCACTATTTAGACATTTGTACAATCTTGGAATTGGCACATGTGGTATCGTGCGACCTAATCGCAATATCTCAATGAACACAAGAACAATTTCCAAAATTTTGACAAAACTGAGTTTTATAGAACATTTGTATAGCTCATTACATAAAAGTAAGGTTAATAATATAACTTAGATTACAAAATCTTCAGTTTTACTCAAATTAGTTGATGCAAAAATGAATACACCCCACAACAAAAACTACTCCATCTAATATTTTGCATGACCTCCATGATTTGTAAGAACAGCACCAAGTCTTCTAGGCATGGAATGAACAAGTTGGCAACATATTGCAACATCTATCTTTTTGCATCCTTTAAGAACAACCTCTTTTAGAGCCTGGATGCTGGATGGAGAGTGATGCTCAACTTGTCTCTTCAGAATTCCCCATAGGTGTTGGATTGGGTTTACATCAGGACACATACTGAAACACTTTCACCTTGTTCTTCTTCAGAAATGCAACATTGGCCTTAGATGTGTGTTTTGGATCATCTGTATGTCGGAAAAGTGCACAACGACCAAGGGCACGGAGTGATGGTACCATCTTCTCTCTCAACATAGAGCAGTACATCAGTGAATTCTAAGATACCATCAAAGAAATGCAGCTCCCTGACACCAGCAGCACTCATGCAGCCCCACAGGACACTGCTACCACCATGTTTTACTGTAGGCACCATGCATTTTTCTTTGTACTCCTCAAATCATTTATCTTAGTCTCATCACTCCAGAGTCCCAGTACTGGTGTTTTCTCAGCATGGGCCCTGGAAAATTCTAGGCTGGCTTTTTTGTGTATGGGCTTTAGGAGAGGCTTCCTTCATGGACAACACCTATGCTTGTCATTCCTCTGCAGTGTACGCCGTATTGTGTCATGGGAAACAAACAATCACCCCATTTTGACTTTCTACTACTTTAGCTAACTGCAGCGAACTTCTTGGCGATGTTCTTCAACCCTTATCAGAAGATGCTTCTGTCAATGTGGTAACTTCCATGGACTGCCTGGACGTCTCTATGAGATGGTGGCAGTTCCATCTTTGTTAGAATACTGTAGCAAAAGTGATACAAATATTGACTGATAAGTAAAGATCTGCTGATCTTCTTGTAGCCTTCACCTTTGTTGTGTAAAGAAATTATTTTCTTTTTCAGGCCTTGTGACATTTCTCTTCCATGTGGTGCCATTGCTGACAGCATGATAATCAACTGTCTGCTGGACATCTGTTTAATGAATAATTAGACTCACCTGTAGTTGAATTCTTGCCGATTAGGATTTTGAGGTCTAAAATTTAGCTTTTCTCTTAAGACTTTCTTTGGGGTGTATTCATTTTTGCAACATGGTCTTGAATGAATTTGTTTGGAAAAATACTTTTCTGTGTGTGCAAATGAAGAAATCTTGTTTGCAATCAATGGCCCGCATTTGTGGGAGTATTTTGTAGTATAGTGTCCCATAGAAAATGTTGATTCTGAAAGTAAAGGTTTTCTGACAAACCTGTTGGGGTGTACTCATTTATGTTGAGCACTGTGTATATCCATCTATATCTATCCACAAATTTACATTTATATTTTAAACTGAATGGGTTGTTTTACAAGGGGAGGGTTTACATATACTTTAAGATCCCATGTACATGACCAGCTCCTAAACTTGAGTTTAGGAGCTTTTGGCATTTTTTTTGCCAAAGCTCCTAAATGCCCCCCAACTCTATAAAAGTCTGTGTGTCCATGTACACTTAAGCTTTTAGCAGAGTTTAGGAGCTGCCGCGTTTAGGTGAGGTTAAACCTCACTCTCCGGAACGCAGAAGATTCGTGTTCAGGATAGGAACGTTTTGACCGCTGACCGTGGGGAACTGCAAAATGTGACAAAACCACGGCAAAACTGTGGTTCCACGGTTTTGCATTTTCCCATGGCCGCCGGTCACGAAAGGCTCGTGTACATGGAGCCTAAAGCTTCATGTACACGAGCAGCTCCTAAACTCGCTTTTAGAAGCCTTTGGCATTTTTTTTCCAAAGCTCCTAAACTCAAATCCATAAAAGCCTGTGTGTCCGTGTACACTTAGACTTTTAGCAGAGCTTAGGAGCTGCCGCGTTTAGGTAAGGTTACCCCTCCCTCTCCTGTACACGGAAGAATAGTGTACAGGATAGGAACGGTTTAACCATTAGCCGCCCGACCAATGGCCGTTTGGCAGCCGGCAAAATCCTTCAGCGTCCTCCCAGACATGCGTAGTTTGCGCGCCTGCAGAGCCGCGCAATCTGTCACCGGCTGTGTACCTCGGACACGGACGATGACAGATCTGAGTACCGGCCCTGTTGCTGGTACCATGTGACCTGCTGTGACCAATCATGCAGGTCACATGACAGTTGTATACAAAGGATGGCTTCATTCATGCCATCCATTGTATACTAGTGTCTAGCTGTGAATGGTCACAGCAATCACATGCACATGTCATGTGATTAGCCGTGGCCAAATCACAGCTAAGCACAAAAAAAAAAAAAAACCCCGAATGAATCGATGTCATTCAGGTAAATGCTTGCTTATACCAAAGTAGTAATTCTTTGCTGTAAGCAAATTGTTTAAAAAAAAAAAAAAAATACTGATCACTTCCCCATAGTAGTACAATGTTACTATGGTAACATTATACTACTTTGGTCATAGTGAAATAAGAAAAAAAAAAAATCTTAAAAAAAAAAATAAAAATTTAATAAAAAATTAATAAAAAAATAAATTATATTATATATTTTTTTCATACTGTCACCAGTAAGTGTCCCTGATCACCGCCATGCCAGTTATATGATGATGGCGCTGCACTGGTGACAGTATGTAAAAAAAAAAGTGAAAATAATTTAAAATTTTTTCATTTTCCGAAAATTATGACAAAAAAAAAAAAAATATCAAAAAACTCGCTATGCCTCTTATGAAATACGTCGGACTGTCTACTTTACAAAAAGGGGTCATTTGGGGGATATCTGTACTGTTCTGACATTCTTGGAACTCAAGAAATTAGATTGGCCGTCAGTACTTCAGGATTGATCAATATTCAGATCTATACCATAGTTTGTGAACTCTATAACTTTCCTACAAACTAAAAAATACATCCTAATTTGGTTTATTTTCACCAAAGACATGTAGCAGAATACATCTCGGCCTAAATGTATGAAGAACAATTTATTTGCAAACTTTTATAACAGAAGCAAAGAAAAAAGTGTTTTGTTTTTTTTTTTAAATTTTCGGTCTTTTTTGTTAATTTAGCAAAAAAATAAAAACCCCAGCGGTGATTATATACCACCAAAAGAAAGCTCTAGTTGTGTGAAGAAAATGATAAAATTTTAGTTTGGGTACAACATTGTATGACCGCGCAATTGTCATTCAAAGTGTGAGTGCTGACACCTGAAAAATGGCCTGGGCAGGAAGGGGTAAAAGTGCCCGGTATGGAAATGGTTAACTGCCATCAGCGAGAAAACGTGGCACTCCGATTTGCGTTTTCCCACGGCCGGCGATCAGGGTAGGCTCATGTACATAAAACCTAAAAGAGGTATTGCCAAAGCTTTTTTTTTTTTTTTTTTTTTTTTTTTTTAACCCATGCTTCTCTTGTGAGTCATAGGAGTGCACTTGTGCTCTCCTGTGACCCAGAATTGGCCAACACAGGGCTAGAGCCTGTTATCGGATGATGTCAAAAAGCTGCTCCACACTCTGGAAGATCCCAACCATATTGTCAAGTTCTACCCAGATGCCTGATCAGCAGTTGGCTCAGTCTTTCAGAGCACTGCTGAGAGCCTGAGCAAGGTGCTCCCGCCTTACTCTAGTGAAACGGTCACCACTCTCTGCTCTAGATAGATCGGGAACTGAGAGAAAACAGTCATGTGATCAAGCTTTAGAGCCAGCAGGGGACAACTGCACCATCAGGCCATGCTATCTCCGCCCTGCTACCACAGGCCACTGTACTCCACTGTCTTTGCTACTGGCTATGTGAATGCAAATAAAGCAGTGCAAAAAGAAAGGGTTATGTTTTTTTACGCCAATAAGCAGACTAGTCTTTTTTTTTTTTTTTTTAGAACAGCCTTTAAGACACTTTGGGGTTCATTTACTAAAACTGAATAGTGCAAAATCTGGTGTAGCTCTGCATAGAAACCAATCAGCTTCCAGGTTTTGTCAAAAGTTTAATTAAACAAGCTGAAAAGTTAGACTCTGATTGGCTACTATGCACAGCTGCACCAGATTCTAAGTGCTCCAGTTTTAGTAAATCTACCCCTTTGCATTTAGTGGGGACAAACAGCACTATCTGCAATTGCATTGCTAAATCTATGCGACAGATTTTATTAGGATGTGGTTAGACAGCCTTTGTGTTTTATTTCTTGGTGTTTTTACCATTTTGAAAAATGGAATCCCATTAACAAAGCAAGTAGAAATACACCTTAGACATAAACAGTCTTTTTGCATACTCACTGCAGCACCAGCGGGGGGTGTGGATATGGACGATGCATTTTACATCAGGTCGTGCAGCATATATGGCAGAATGCAATGTGAAACCAGCTTTATTCACTCCTAAGTTGGTGCTGCCGCGGTCAACCATTTCACCTTGCAGGTTGACTTTGACCTGAAACACAAAACATGCACACATACTCTTGAAAGACAAACGTTTTCCAAATTTGATTTAGTCAGTGATATTTTATGCACAACAAAACCAAATCTGCCTATTTTGTGATATTCATGAACTTAGGCCGTGATTAATCAAGCTGTGATAAGCGCAATGTGCTAAAACGTCATCTCAAACAATATCAAGCACCTCAAGCCATGCTTTTTTTTTCTGTCTTCCCAAACAGACACTTCACAGAACCTCAGTGAATTCTAGGCAGAATCGGTGAGTTTTTTTTACATTCAAAACAATGTGATAGATTTGTGAACTGACTTTTGTACGGAATAGGGCAAACAGAGCACACATGTTGAGAATTAAGAAGCTGATCCATTAAAAATTATTATTATAAAGGATTTATATAGAACCAACCGTTTGCGCAGTGCTTTAAATAAAGCCTTCTAGTGAAATCTAACAAAGCTCAGATTAGCAAATAATACATTAATGTAAATACTGCCTGTTTTGTGAATTGTTCCCCAAAAAAAAGTGCTATTCTGCCTTTAAAAAAAAAATTAAAAATAAATAAAAAATGGCACATGTGATAACGATGATACAAAGACACTTACCAGACTGGATGCAGTAACTTCACTGTACAGAAGTCCAAAGGGAACAATCAGGAAGTGTTCTTGCTCTGAACTCACTCTGACCTATATCAAAACACAGAATAGAAAATCATAAGTAATCCATGGAGAGATAGATTAGTTTGGCTGATTTTTGCCATTTAGCACTGAGCTACTTTAACTGGTAACTGCAGTCATGCAACGCTGTACCCAAATGAAAATTTATATAATTTTTTTTCCCACACAAATAGAGCTTTCTTTTGGTGGTATTTGATCACCACTGGGTTTTATTGTTTGCAATATAAGTGAAATTGACTGAAACTTTAGAAAAAAAATTTTTTTTCTCCAAAACATCAAATTTCTTCATAAATGTTGGCCAAAATGTATTTTGCTACATATCTGATTAAAAAATAAACCCGTTATAGCGTCTACAAACTAGGGTTTGTACTAGAATTTCTTTTTTTTGTACTACTAATGGTGGCGATCAGCGACTTAATGTATACAGCCAATCAGCCACTCCAGGCTGTGAATCATGCGCATGCACTAAACCCAGAAGCAGACAGTGATGTACAGGTACCTTTGTCTGTGCAGGCCGCCCGTCTACAGGTGGTTAACCCCTTCACACCGACGTCACACAAATGTGGCCTCACAGAACTGGGCTTTATTCTGTGGTGCCGCATATTTGCGTACCTGTCTTTGTGCTGGGAGCACGCTCCCAGCACAAGGACCGGGGTGTCACTAAGAGCCCTGGGTCCCATTCTAACGATCAGGACACGGGACTCCCGATTCTGGGTAACATGATCGTTGTGAAACTCTGATTGGCTATCACAGTGATCAGTCACTGTATAGCCCACCCCCCTTGTTTTGTTTCTCTCTATGAATGGAGGAAGGAGATACATTGTAGCTCTCTAACTCCTGGCATAGAGGAGGAAAAAAAAAAATATATTTTTTTTTAACCCCTTGATGCCGATGTAACACAAATATGCAAACTCACAGAACTGGGATTTTTTCCGTGGGGCCGCATTTTTGCATACCTGTCTGTGCTGGTCACTGAGAGCACCGGGTTCTGTTCTAACGATCGGGACCTGGGACTAACAATTCCGGGTCACATGATCGCTGTCATAGCCTCTGATTGGCTATCACAGTGATTAGTCACTGTACAGCCCAGCCCCTTGTTTTTTTTTTTCCCTCTCTCTATGAATGGGAGGAGAGAGATACATTGTATCTTTCTAACTCCTGGCATAAAGAGAAAAAAAAAAAAACAACAACAAATATTAAAGAAAAAAAATAACTAGATGAAAGTTTGATCTAGTTCAGTGCCAGGGTTAGTATTTGGGTCAGAGTCAAAGGTCAAAAGGTCAGGACTTATTTTAAAAAAATAAATAAATAATATGGTGTCAGTGTGTTTTAGGTAAAAAAAAAAAAAACAAAAAAAACAAAAAAACCCCCACAAAAACAAAATGCGCACTATTGTTTCTGAGCTGTACTACGGGTGCAAACAACAAACATACACATATATGGTATCGCTGTGATCGTCAAGATTTGAAAATTTATTTTGGGTTGTTCTTTGGTGGTAGGTTAAGGTAGGCCTGTTCTGAGTGGAACCTGTCCTGTCAAACCACTGTATGGTCTTGGCCACCATGCTGCAGCTCAGTTTCAGGGTCTTGCCAATCTTCTTATAGCCTAGGCCATCTTTATGTAGAGCAACAATTCTTTTTTTCAGATCCTCAGAGAGTTCTTTGCCATGAGGTGCCATGTTGAACTTCCAGTGACCAGTAAGAGAGTGAGAGCGATAACACCAAATTTAACACACCTGCTCCCCATTCACACCTAAGACCTTGTAACACTAAACGAGTCATATAACATCTGGGAGGGAAAAATGACTAATTGGACCCAATTTGGACATTTTCACTTAGGGGTGTACTCACTTGTTGCCAGCGGTTTAGACATTAATGGCTGTGTGTTGAGTTATTTTGACGGGACAGCAAAATTTACACTGTTATACAATCTGTACACTAAAATATTTACAAAAATGTAAGGCGTGTACTCGCTTCTGTAAGATACTGTACAAAGTAGTGTTGATATGTACAGCTTTACTAACATGTCAACGTTGCAAAATTGTGCTTAGGCATGAAGATTTATTTTACTCTTAGAAGTGAAGGGGTTAAAGTCACAATAGTTTCCCCAGTTCTTTATTCAGTTTGAAACCAATTGCAGGGCTTACACAACCTGCTGTAACACAGGTAAACAGATTAGATCCAATATTTTCCAGTGCAGATGTGCGCATGCAAAGACTGGAAAAAAGCGCAAACATTTCATGACAGTGGATGGAGGGCCTGACACACAGGCCCTGTTTTACTCTGTAAAAGCAACAAAGTAAAACAAAAATGGCAAACCGTTGTAGGATTTATACAAAAGTAAGTCAAAGTAAGACTACAAATTTCTTCATATTGCTGCTTATTTCATTGCAGGTAGCAGCATTGTTTTTATTTCATTTATATTGCTGGCTTTGTTCTCACATGTTGTTCTGTCATGAAGACTTTAGTCTTTTGAAGACCTTTAAAGCTCTGCTGGCAGAAATCCAGGCTGTAAACGGATAATTCTAGATCCTTCATTATTTGATTCTCTTATTAAATCTTTATAGCTCTGACCAAAAAGGCACGCTCTAAGGTAAACTTGGAAGAACTGTGTCAGGCAGAATTACCCATTTTAAGTTAAAGTATACCTAAAAGGCAAAACTTATTACTTTTGCATAAAGTGGAAAGGAAGTAGAGCCCCTGGCAGATTTTTTTATGCCATCTGTGCCCCATTATGGAAAGTCACCCTCTATATTTGTCCTGTTTACCATTATTACTGGAAGTTAAAAAAAAAAAAAATAATCCAAATTTTTGCTTGTCCCCAGAACAATAATGGGAAGGGGGGAAGGGGATCCAATGACCCTGGTGACAGCCAGGGATGTCCTTAGGTGAGGTGAGAGTAAAATCCCACCAAACTGGTTTTGGCTATTGGACAGGAAGTAAAAGATAAATCTCCACAATGAAACAAAGATGGCCACAAAAATTACAAGGATTATACTTCTCCCTCCCTTAATCTAAAAGTTTTGCCTTTAGTTCTAATGTAAGAATCGTTATGGAACTTGGTGGAATAGGAACTGATCTGACAGATAGGTTTTATTGTGAAGACCTATTGTGAAGTTTTATTCCAGAAGCCAGGTAGCCAATGTTCCAAAAACTGGTACCCAAATTTGTCCCCATTTTTGGCTGATATCTCCTGGCTGTTTAAAATAATTTCAAAACCAGTTAACACAACTTTAAAGCCAGTGACAGGGAAGGCCTTTTCAGAAGCATTTTGTCAATTACTGCACCAGGCTCTTGTTATGCACATGCAGTCGCGCTCCAGAGCCGGGGTGTGTGTGCATCCATAGAAACACAGTGAGACTCAGCCCCATCATAGGATTTGATTGACAGCAGCAGAAGTCAATGGCTTCTGCTGCTCTCAGCAAAGCCTGTGATAGCAGGGAGAGAAAACCTGCAATTTGGCACAGCACTGGATGGATGGTGGTGTCAGTTAAGTATTAGGGAAGGGGGATACTAGCGTTGGAATATTTTTTAACTTAATGCATTAAGGTAAGCACCTTTAGAGTTTACAACCACTTTAATAAACTGTGAATGGACTAATCGATAACACAAGTATTTTTTTTTTTTTTATAGTGTTCTGTATACCCCATAGTGAGCAGTAGGAGATAATTTATCTTTCTATATTTTTATCACATGAATAAAGTATGGACAGAAGTTTATATTAATAGCGCCAATTAGATGTTTATATGAATGGATCCGGTGGTATACACAAGGAAATAGCTGTTTTTGTGATGCACATAACCTTGACTGGGGTAAACCTCAACCGAAATATAATCAAATAAGCACTTTATAAAAATGGTACTTATTGTAGTAATTACTGATTTTGTTATGCCCAATAAAATTAAATGTCCTGATCTGTCAGATTTTTGGACATGTGTACCTCTCTGTGCATGTGATTTTGTACCATAACTGGATCTAGTAGTTTAATACTCACCGTAATGTGATTGTAGATCAGCTGGGACCATCCAAACAGATCAGCTAAGCGATAAAACGCGGCTAGTTTACATCTAAGCAATTTTTCTCCCTTTTCATAAGCAATGGAGTCAGAGCCTCTAAGATCGTTTACAGGTGTGACCATTCCCAAGCCTGAAATAAAGCACAATCCAGGTTACAAAAATGAAGGCCATAAATATTAAAGCTGAATGTCAGATCTGAGCAGTGATCCAATGTGAACCTTTTCCAGGATTTTCTTGTAATAAAGATGCCCTCTCCCTGTGCAGGGTGACTGCTCCTGAATCTGCCCCCCTCCTGCAGTCAACCTGTAGTGGGTTGGGCCTGCTGGGTCCCTCCCACAGCTCTACTCTGCACAGGCCATGATCAGTACACGGATTATGTTACTATAACTTTTGCAAGGTAATAACTGGGCTTGAAAAGGCATTTTGTACAAAGTTGCTTAAGAAACTTTGTGGTTAACTGGGGAATATATTTAGATAAACGTCTTGTGTCTGGAGTTCAGCTTTAAGTATATTCCTCAAAAATACCCTTCACACAAGATAAAAAAAATCATGCAACAAGGATAGATGGCAGAAAGGACAGGAGGTTGCTTGTCACTGGGAGACCAGCAGATGTGTGAAATTTCTTTTGATTTAGGCATTAGTTTAGCAACACAGTGAAGCAAAAAAGTTTATTACAGAAGGCAGAGGTAGCTGCCTGAAGAAATTTCAATCAAATAAGAGGAAGTGCAGCTTTGATGCTGTGCTGTACAAACACAGGATTTAAAGTACACTTACTACATATGCAACCATCAAACCTCCTCCCTCTGGTAACCTGCCTGAATTTCAGCACGCTGTATCCTAAAACTGAAAGGGCTAGCTCCATGTCTAGTGCCATGTGTATGAAATACAGGCACCAAGATGACAGCTTATCATTTCAGGGTTCTCTTCTATAAGAACAATGGACAGGAGGATATTGGTGTGAACAATTTGCATAGCCCCTTTACTTTCTATATCCAGCCCAATTGTAACATGAATTAACCATGACTATTAAAAAGTTGCATATTTTGCATTTAGCTGTCCTATAAGGTGTCCCCTGCAATTCCTGATTCAGGCAAATTACTAGAAGTCTGCACTGCTGAGTAAGTAGAACAACACACTACTAGTAAAAACTTTTCTATTTGAATTAACCACTTACCTACTAGGCACTTTCACCCCCTTCCTGCCTAGGTCAAATTTTCAGCTTTCAGTACTGTTGCACATTGAATGACTATTGCACGGTCATGCAACACTCTACCCAAATGAAATGTTTAGCATTTTTTGAGACATATAGAACTTTCTTTTGGTGGTATTTAATCACCACTGGGTTTTTTATTTTTCTTTAAACAAAGGGATATTTTTGTTTTTTTAAGTTTCAGTTATAAAATGTTGCAAACAGGTAATTTTTCTCTTTCACTGATGTGCGCTGATGAGGCTGCACTGATGGTTATTGATAAGGCAGCACTGATAGGCACCGACGAGGAGGCACTGAAGGGCAGCATTGGTCATTGATAGACACCGACGGGACTGCACTGATGTCCTCGGATGTGTAAATACACTTGATTACCGGCTCTCCTCTTTCCTCATACTGTGACAGCATTAGAATCAGCATCAAACTTTTTTTTAGCAGTTTGTTGGGTTTGGAGCTGCGTAACCACCGACCAGTCAAAAGTACCCTTTCTGACCCATATCCACAGCCAAAAGCACCTACAATAATAATGAACTTCAGAGCTGGACCACAGAGCAATGGAAGAAGGTGGCCTGGCCTAATGGATCACATTTTTTCTTTTACATCGTAAGGACAGCCAGGTGCATGGTTGTCATTTACATGTGGAAAAGATGGAACCAGGATGCACTACGGGAAGAAGGCAGGCTGGTGGAGGCAGTGTGATGATTTGTCTAAAGTGGTCTATACCTTGACGGGTCAGTACTGTTTTGGCAGAAAAGGGGGGACCTACGCAATATTAGGTGGGTCATCATAATGCTATGGCTTATTGGTATATACTGAGCTAAACATCTAAAATTATCCCAATAGAACAGAAGAAGAAGAGGGCAGTCAATAGATCTATGTAAAAAGGACACTCACAGATAGAAAGAATGAGGCCCCTTTTTATATGGGGTGGAGTTAGATTTGATCAGCAGGGGATCTGTCCACTGATTTTCTCCTGAACAGAGTAGGGGGGGGGGGGGGGGACAGGTCAATTCCGGCTCAGTTTATCCAGAACGGACACGAACAGAACAGAGCCCGCTGTGCTCTATGAGCAGTTGGGGGAGTAAACTGATTCAGCTGTCAGTGCACACCCAACTGCCCTCCGATCCCATCCACCTGTCAGAAAAGAACAGATTCCCTTCCGCTTTTTTTTTTTTTAGCGGATCGGATCCCATTGGAGGTAGGCGGGTGTAAACAGATTTCACACCAGCTGGTCCACAGGGGGTGAACAGAGGGTCTGATCAGGTCCGCCTGAAAAACTGACAGGCAGACCTCATCAGATCCTTCATGGGAAGGGGCCCAAAACATAAAAAAAAAAAAAAAAAAAGTGAAGCACCATTATACATAAAATGCTGAGCATTCTCTACCGTGTTACCAAAGTTTAAAAGGGAATGTGTTTTATTTTAGACATACATGTGATTTAGCAGAGGGCATCTTGCTGTAAATCTTAATATGGCAAACCATGCTTCTATGCCTAGCTCAGAATTACTGTAAACACTGATAACTGAAAAAAAAACACACCATAATTCATTGTATGGATAAAAGTAACAGATGCAATCATGCAAAGATTTGTTTTTGACATGATACAAATATTATAAAAGGACCAATGCAGATCACCAAACCAAAACACAGCAGTCTTTTTTTTTTTTTTAATCAGTCTGCTAATGTGAGCACAACAAACTACAACAATGGGCTTCAAAGAGAAAAAGGAATCTTTGCAGCTATAGAGAATTTAGCAAATACCTGAACATGCTCCTAATGAGAAAATGTTTTTTGAATGCCAGGTTTAAAACATATTAAAAATCAGTGAAAATGAAAAAAAAAAAAAAAAAAAAAAAAAAAAAAAAAGTTTAAATTCCCCCCCCAAAATATGAAATAAATACTGAGTATATAAAGACAACAGAACCATGAGGGTCATTTCTTTGTAAGTTCATCTGTTGGCCATACTGTGTAACCATGACCTGCAATTTTGTTGTCACTGAATGGACAGCAATGAACAGGACCTTGATTACCATCTGCTGTAGAATTCTTGATGTGACCTTGCCTTATCTATGTCTGTCAATACTGCAAAATTACAAAGGTCTGAAGCAGCATTGATATTGTAAATGCACGGCACACAGGACTACACCAAGCAGTGTATGCAATGCACAGCCCCAAGGAATACAAGGTGTCTACATCCATCAATTAGATACCATATACTGGAGAGGTTACAGGAGAGCTGGCTATTGGTAATAGGCTATACCCAGCTCTCCTGTGACCTCTCCAGTATATGGTGTCTATATGACTGACTGTCTGTTGTAGTCCCCCTTGTATTCCTTAGGGCATTCAGTCACTGATATTAAACTCTGGATTGTTTGAGGTGGGTTAAGATCGCTAATAAAGTTTTTCTTGGACTCTTCAGCTCCTTTTGTATGGAGGTCCGTATCAGTGGGCTGCAACCCATTTCCTCTTTTGGTTCATCTTGGACTCCCCTGGGGATATAGAAGTGGATGCTTTTGTGCTGGGTTTTACATATATGAAGATACCCCTGTTTTTTTCCAGTGGCAATTATATGCAACTATCTGTAAATCTCCTGAAGAAGCAGGAAAATTGGTGAAACATGTCGAGTTGGAATTGTTGCATTGTGAACTTCAAGCCATGTTGGTTTTAAATTTCTTACAACTAATAACGTGATGTAGTTTTTTTTTTTTATATTACATTACAATATGGAATAAAGCCTTTGAAATCTGTTGAGCACCTTAAAGTGGAGTTCCACTCGATCAAAAAAATAAAAGTCAGCAGCTACAAAACTGTAGCTGTTGACTTTTAAAAATCAGCCACTTACCTGTCCCTCGGTCCCATGGTGTGTCCCCCGCAGCTTGTTTCAACGGTTGTCCTGTATTCCAGGAGGCAGACATCTTCAGTGTGGGCACCCAGCTGTGATAGCTTGCGGCTTCACAGCTGGGTATCCACTGCGCATTCGTGAGTAGCGCTGCGCTTTGTGAATGGACAATTTTTATTTTGTTGGAAAGCACATTTGTGTTGCAAAGCAGCACTTCCACATTTATCGCCATGCAAAAAGTCCTCCCCACCCTCTGCACATGCACAGATTTACTACAGGGCTCGGTTCCCAAGAGAGTGTTTTGGCACGTGTGCACATGCGCTGGTTTCTCCAGTCATCTGCATATGCGCAGGGTTTCCCACACATGCACAAATACTGCTATAGCAGGGAAGTCTGAAATCTCTCCTTTTTGCATTTGAATAGAAATCACCTATGCAATTGTGCAGTTGGTAAAACGGAAAAAAAAAAAAAAAAAAAAACACAAAACAAATTCCTCCACACACACAAATTAGGTTATGGAGGAGTCCCTATACCATCAGAATACACTAAACAGCGGCTGTATCTGCTGATCAACAAAAAGTTTCCAGCATGTCCCTTTGACAGAAATCTTCTGTCAAGCAAGGAGAGCCATACACTAACCAAAATCTGGCTTGTTCAGCAGGGACCAGCCAAATTTGATCAGTGTTTGGCAGCTCTAGATGCACCTCTGCATCCAGCTTGTGAGTTTGTGTACAAGCCCTGATGGCTGCAGTAGGTTACCTTGTGTGGTCTCCCTTCTCCTCTGAAACTAGAGAGGTACACTGATGACAAGGAGTGACTGAAGCTCCCCTCTGCTCACTTCCTCTTTCCTGTCTACTGAATAACTAGACTAGGGATTCCCCTCCATTGTCTGCTCTACATCTACACATATATGCATCTAGGAACAGATCAACTTCTTCCTGCTGAAATGACCGCCCAAAAGTACAGAAACAGTTAAAGAGTAACTCCTGTATATATAGTATATTGTAAATGCATCTTCAGGTGGCATGCATTTTCAAATTAAAGTGATTGTAAAATTAAAACTAAAATAATAAACATGTTATACTTACCAGCTCTGTGCTCTGGGTTCCTCTTCTCAGTGCACCACATTAGGAAGCCGCTTCCTAAGGAGGCGCACCTACTTTCCTCGCCAGCTTGCTTTGTGGCTGTGATACAAATGTGAAATTTCTTCATGTGGAATTGCCCCATTGTCTCTGCCTTCTAGTCAGAAGTGAATGCTTTCCTTTCCACTGCTTATGGTTTGCCCAATATTCTACACCCCAAGAATGGCCTCTTGGTCATTCTTAGAGATTTATCACTTTCTAAGTAGAATAAGCATATACTTCATTTTTATGTTAAGAAAGTCATCGTCCTGTCTTGGAAAGGTGCTCCTCCTGTGTCGCTTGAGGCTTGGAAGACTATCGTTATTAGTAACTTCCCTTTGTATAGGCGAACCTATAAACTCCGAAAACTACCTAGTCTCTTTGAGAATATAGAAGGCCGTTGAACAGACAGTCCTCATGTGGCTGCTTTTGTAGATCCAGAACCCTGATTATTTACTGTTATAACTGTATAATCCTTTGGTACCTTTGGTTGTTCTTGATAGCATCGATTTTGTTATACTGGATAATCTGCATATGGCATACTCAACTGTACGTAGACTATGTTGCTGTTATATTGAGGGAGGAGGGGGGAGTTCTCCCCTTTTCGGTCACTCCATTTTCTTTTGTATGTAACTTTTTTTTAAGGTGTTGTAAAACTCAACAAAAATACATAAAAGGGGGGAGGAGCACTTACATGTTCGCTCCCAAGCTGGGCTGTGTGCATCTATTGACACACACACGACTCAGCCCCCCCCCCCCACTCACATGAATTGACAGCCGCAGGAGTGCTCTGCTCACTACATCTGTGATCAGAGAGAAAGGGGAGAGAGCCATAGCAGATGGGTGCAGCACTGGACAAATACTGCGTTCAGGTAATTCTAAAGGGGGGGTGGGGGATACAAATAAAGAGACATTTACCTTAATGGAGGGAATGCATCAAGATAAAAAAAAAAAAAAAAAAAAGTCTAGTCTTTGGAACCACTTTAAGGATCACTTTTAATATTTATTTAATTTAGAACAGTCATCTAAAATGCAGCATGTTTTAGCTACAGCCGAGTTCACACTTACTCAGGTTTAACGCTGCCATCCCACCCTGTGGGGCCGATGGGTAGACACTTGGTACACTTGTGGTCATAAAATCTGCTATTTGCTGTAATGCCAATAACCCAGTAGGATTTTTTCCTTTCTTGAGTTGGTCCTGGATCATGGTTTCCAGTTCTTCACAAAAGGCCTAAGGATGAAAAATACAAGAACAAAATTAAGGTGGTCAAAAAATGGCAGCAGGATTATCCTTACCCTATGTCAACCACTGCATATTATATAAAGGGAATACTTGTAATCAAGGAGGTTAAAGCTGAACTACAGGTAAACAGCTATAATGCTAAAGGAAAAAAAAAAAAAAAAAAGAAAACCAAGTAGTACACTTACCTGCTGAATTTGTGATTCTATTCAGGCAGACTTGTGTGCCAGAGTACCTGACATTTTACTTTACAATTAACTGCTGGCTTCAACAATAAAATGAATAGTAAATCTGTGACCAGAAGGCTTTCCCTGAGGAGACTGTGTGGCATCCAGGGAAGATCTTTGGATCATAGAAGGGTAAGTGGAGGACTTGCTGGGGGAGGGGAGCCTGCATTTCATAGATACTTGTCTGAAAGTCCCTTTATCCTTTAAAGTATCAGCCCTTTCAATGAAGATCTCTTAGCTTTTAGTGGATACAAATTATCAAAATGATTTGTCAAGTCTCTCAGACGCTCTACTAAAAGTATCATTGGACTCGGACATTTACATTTGCCATGGACGTTGTGAGCAGTTCTGTTCTTCATTTGCATTTTTATGTCATATTAAATGTAGGAGTAGTTGCAAATAAAAGGTCAGCAGCAACAGACCTTGAATCTGGCAGGGAGATCTTATAGTTTCCAAGACATTCAAGGAGCCAGACTTAGCCTTGCCAGCTCAGCTTGTATAGATATCAAATTTGTGAGGGCCAAATATTTAAGAAATAGATTGAGTCGAATTACATTAAATCACTTTCAGCTATAGGAATATCTATAAAAGACACCATTTCACCTAAACATTACTTCAGGAGTTTACAATTCTCTGAAACTTGTGTCTACAGGGAATCTGCAAAACCAGATGAAAGGGGTCAATTAGCTTCCAGTACAAATGTCTGCCCTGTATCCAAATTTTGGTTAAAAGACAAACAGATACAGAGTTACAAAAGGCACCTAAATGTAGTAACACTGGTGAGCAACACAAACAAGATTTAAAGATCAAAGTCTATCAACATTCAAACTATTCCAAGTGTAATGTGTTCCTGCCTAAACCGAAGAGTCTGATCCTTTTGACACTTGTAAATTTTTTTTAAAGCAAAAAAAACATAGGAGGGCTCCTTCACATGATGTGTGATAATAATAACACATGCAGCGCTACAAATGGTTAATATAAATTAACGTATGAAATATCCAGTCTGCAGCTGGACTTCTGAGGGGAGATATCTATCGGCTCATTCATTGCTCAGGAATAGGCCCAGCAAGGAAAAGAAGCACACGGTCAGAGGAAGAAGAGGAGGAAAGAGGGTACATAGACAACAAAAAAAGAAAGACTTAAACTCTAGAGGTGGATATCTCATATGAGTGCCCTGGGTGAGGAACCTGGATCAGTGTTATTAAGTGTCTCTGGATGTCTGGAATCCCCCTGCTGGCCAAGGAAAGGTGTATCCCCATCAGAGTGACAGCTTGCCAGATGATCCACACAGGTTCAGCTTTCTAGGACCAGGAGTGGTCTGACAACTCAAATGCGCATATTATGCGCTTTCTGGTGAGTGCATAATATTAGACACCTTTCAGCACGGAGTCAACCACCTTTGCACGGTTTACTGGGACTATTGTATCATGTTATGAGGACACTTTTCAATCACCATTAAGCACTAGTAGCCCATCACTTATTACCCTATATGTTAATTTATATTAACCATTTGTAGCACTGCATGTGTTATTATTATTTTAGTGTGAAGGTTTGGGGTTTGTGCCTTTCATGCTAGCTGCTTGTTATCCATCTCCAAGCGCTCGTTAATTATTCTTTTCACATGATGTGTGATGACTGGCATTTTTCTGGACTAGCTACACATCAGTCACTGCAAGAGCACAAACTGTTTTCTCTGTGCCCCGTTCATAACACAATGCTTGTATGATGTGTTCTTCTGTAGTGTAGTGGAAGGCACCAGATGTTCCTGCACTGCAGCACAAAAGGCAGCACTGTTGTGTGGAAACTTGAATGAAGTATGACCTCAAAATAGGTAAAAATGATAAGTGCACCTTTTTTTGGGTGGAACATGTAACAGTCTATATTTAAAAAACAAAAAACCATGGTTGTGCGGGGCTCCACCTGCCCACCGCATCATTCATTCGCAGAGTTCTGTGAATGGGAATCTACAAGTCCTGACAGCCTTTGCAGCTGTCAGTTTGAGTTCTCAATGATCACTGACAAGTCTGTAGGAGTCCTACATGGCAATGCTTTACAGGCTACAAGTAAAATAATGTGATTTTTTTTTTTTTTTTTTTTTGGATAAGTTCGTCTTTTAAAAAAAAATAAGGAAACTGTGCTGTCCACTGCTTGACCTCACACCAATAGGACTTAGCCTCCGCCTCTGAAGAAGTCTGTGCACACGAAATGCGTCAGCAAGAGCCTAGGACGTTGTGACGCCCGGCGGCCATCTTAGATCCTGGATGGTCAGTCGTTTTCACATATCTGACGCTGCTTTACTGTTACTGATGTTTTATGGAATCTATTTTTTACTGAATACATTTTTAACAGTAATTACTACACTATGGGCACTCTCCTTGGTCTCCCTTGAGGAGTTTTATTATCCATAGAGCTCTGCTGCGATCCAGTCTCCTGTCCACCAGACCCAGAGGAGGGAAGCACCTGTAAACAGGCATCTTTACCCACCTATCCCTTAAAAGGGACCTCTGGCCAGCTGGATCTACCTACATCCATTGAGGGCTCATACCCATATCACCCTGAAGGAGAACCTACCCCGAGTTCCAGTCCGGACCTTTATCGGTGAAGTGGATCTGTGTTGATTGACATACTGCGTAATTAGATTACGCTTCTGGTGAGTGCGCAATTTTTACTTTACCATTGGGAGCACCACCACTGGATTGAAAGCTGTAGATCACGATATATTCATCTAGAGCAGCAATGGGCAAACAACGGCCCACGGGCCGTATACGGCCCGGCGGACCTTTTAATCCGGCCCGCGGAGCTAGGCTCCCGCTAGGCTCCTCTCACAGTCCGCCCTGAAGATCGGTGTAGCATGAAAATCTGTCTCCTATGAGGATCTGTCCCCCTCGACGTATCTGCGCATGTGCCGGAGATCGCCGATCGGCTGCTAATGCCTGAAACTGGCACATGCGCAGATACGTCGAGGGGGACAGATCCTCATAGGAGACAGATTTTCATGCTACACTGGAACGGCGAGAGGAACACGCGGAGCAAAGGTAAGTGAATTGACACAGGGGGGACTTGGGGACTTAATATAGGGAATGAATTACTATGGGGGATGAATTACTATATGGGGGATGAATTACTATATGGGGGATGAATTACTATATAGGGGTTGAATTACTATATGGGGGATGAATTACTATGCTTACTATGGGGTGAATATTACTATACTTACTATGGATAACACATACACACATCATTCATCTACTCTTGGTCCGGCCCCCGGGTCCAATATATGAACCCATTGCGGCCCTCAAGTCAAAACGTTTGCCCACCCCTGATCTAGAGACTGTCATTAATTGATGTTATCATTGAGGACATTATATATTTATTATAATTTACTGACTAGCACTACCCATATATTTTTTTACGTTTATCACACCAATAGCTGCCTGCACAGTAAGACACAATGTTTCACCATGCAGGCTAGTGCAAATGAGCTCTGAAAAATGTACGAGACATGCATTAAATATATACACTTAAAGCGTTGCTTTATTTTCACTCTCTACAAGTTTTGTTGTGCGAGTCTATAAACAAACTGGGGCCTTTTCACACAAGCAGTCAGTCTGGATCCCTGAGTTTTTTAAACTGATGACTGAACTACTAGTATTTCCATGGGTGGGTCAACATAAACATATGTACATCCGTTTACAACCAAGTCCGTACACAACACTGAGAGAAGGTCTATGTCCTTTTCCATTTTTGCAGACATAAAATAGATGTCTATTTACGTCCCTTCCACTTGCATCTGTTTTATGCAAGAAACACTTCTTGTTTGTTTTTTTCTCCAACAAAGTAGTCATAGGTGACAAAAGTATATAAAGTGTGAAAAATGGATGTATACTGATGTAAATTGAACTGAACCTGAATGTATAAACTGATGTAAAAGGATCCAGTCTGCATGCTTTTTTTTTTTTCTTTTGTGTTAGTCTGCATGCTGTTTCTTTTTTAGTTTTCGTGATGGAACTCATAACACTGATGTGAAAGACCTTTAACTTCATAATAAAAGCTGTGTGAAAGTGTACCTAGAGGAACTGATGCGGTTTTGAATGCAAAGGGTGTTCACACCAAATATTGATATGATGTGGATTTCTCTCCTGTTCATTTACTTTCAATTTTGTTAAAATGATAAAAAACTGTTCACACTTCTATTTCTGAAAGCATTCTTCATTTACAGCATGTTTTCACAACTGACTATAACGTTTCCACACTACTGTATAGATCTCCAAAGAAAAAAAAACTGAGAAAGTTTACTTTATAAAAACAAGCATATATTTTTGTCCTCCCTCAATATAAAATAAGACCAATTAAAATACCATAGACAAACATTATATTGGTTAATACTCTATTTCAAACTGCAAGCATAAATTTCTAATCACCACAAAACAGATTAGCATGTACCCTGAGGACTAAATAACTGGACTGGCCCAAGGTGCTACTAAATACCCGATTTAATGAGCAGAACTTATGATTGAAAAAAGAAACTAGTGCCATGGCCATCACTGCTACCTGCAGGAGGTAAACTCACATCCATATTAATTAAAATGCTTCAGATTCCAGATTTATTTTTAATCCACAATTAGCAGGACTTTGCAGCCAACCGGTTTGAAAGAACACAGCACCCAACAGCGAGACTAAAAGGATATACTGAAATAAACTAGAAAAATAAAAAATAAAATAAAAAAAAAAAAAAAAAAAACAGTCAAGGTGAACATTAAAGCCCAAGTGCCACAAAAATCAAAACCAGAAAAATCAGCACAAGGGACATAAAAGTAGGTGTCCCTTTTGTCAATTAGTGAAAGCGACAGCGTAATGACAGCAAGTTATGTTCCTGGTTCTGATTTTTGTTCTGTGATTGTGGCTGCACTTGGGCTTCAAATGTTTTGTCAGTTCTTTTCATTGCAGCATTGTGCTTTTTTTTTGTCCCTGCCAACTCACCGGGCTTTGAAGTATCATAGAAACTCTCTTTTTCTGTTCCATCATGTTGAAGTCCTGTCGAAGGTCAGGTGCCATGTTTCTTTCTCTAAGGTACTCCGGGTTATTCTCATCCACTCGGTCAAAATACTTTTCCTTGTGGGGAGCATTCGTAGGGGGTGGTGAGGTCACCACCCCTGCACTGGAATCACCATTCATAGCTCAATATTAACCAGTCCTAAACACAAGAAATAAAAAAAAAAACACTGATTAGAATATGTCAAATTCAACAAGGTTTAATAAAACCAAAGCTAAAATATCTGTTATATACTAACTCAACACTAAATAAAAATGTGTCATTTTAAAGAATTTCCAGGAGTATTTTGCTTCTTCAGAAGACACTACTGCATAATAAACAGTCGCTCTCTGGTTTTCACGGTACAAAAATGTACTATTGCAGACTGGACCTGTATCACCACCCACTGGAGAAAATTGTACTGATATACAAGCTGAAAATATATGCTTTATGGGACCATACTTGAGCTCCAGTTATCTGCTAGGTGGCTACAGAAGGTGGAAAACCCAATAATCTATTCTGCACCAGGGCCTTAAAGTGATACTAAAACCAAAAAATGTTTTTATTTTACCCTAATGCTTTGATTGTATTAAGATAAAACATGTTTTATATTTCCCTGTCCTCCCCATTCCCTGCATGAAGGGGAAGAGAGGGGAGAATAGATCAAGTGCTGTGCATGGCTGCATCTTTTCTCCCCTCTCTTCCTCTGTACACAGCATTTCAGCCAAAGGCTCCTGCTGCTGTCAATCAAATGCAGTGAGGAGGAAGTGTGTGTTTGGAGTGCGGCACTAAAGGGAAACACAGCTCGGGAGCGAACTGACACCGTGTGCCTCCATAGCAAACCGCTTGCTATGGGGACACACTAAGAAGAGGAAGAGCCAAAATCACTGGTGGGCGAGAAGAGGAGGATCGGGGCTGCTCTGTGCAGTACCATATTTCCATTTTTCCTCTAATACCTCTTAATACCAGATATATGAAAAGAGGATCTCAGCAGACACAGCACACACCCATTGCAAGTGTAATTTTAAAACTTTAAAACCTTTTTGGCAGCTATACACAACATGTAAATACTGACAATTGGTGCCCTGTCAACTGCATGACTGCATGCAATAAACAAAAAATGGTCTGCCAGCTCCTAGGCGTGCAGAACAGGATATAATAGTGCCTTATGCTCAAGAAGAACCCAAATAACTAACACACTCTTAGATGATCTTCAAACTACATTTTTACTAGGGTGGGGTGATGTTGGGCTGGGAATGACAGAAAATGAAGCACATGACCCCTTAGGGCTCCTGTTCACTGCAGCTGATAAACTGACGTTCAGGAGCTGTTCAGCTTTTTTTTTCAGAAGCCCCTGAACTCTCCCGAATGTTTTTCTATGTCTCCATGTACACATCGTCGTTTGCAGGCAGTTGAGTTTACAATTGTTTTTTTTAATGCACCAAACTTGCGTTCAGGAGTAGATTTTACCGGCGTTCCAAACACGGTTAACTGCGTTTATAAGCTTTTTGTTTTTTTTTTTTGTTTTTTTTAACTGTTCCATGTCCAGATGCTGTCCAGAGCCTTTTTTTCATCATCAGAAATGCATGCAATTTCCAGGTACTCAAATGGACCCGGTACACCAGCGCAGTCAGTTCCAGGTTTTGCGTGAAGGCAAAAAAATGGTAGAACGTGCTGCATTATGTTCATGATGGGATCCATAGTGACTACAACCAGAAAAGACAGGTCATCTCAACACATACTGCTCTCTCTGCTTCTGCTCTATTTCTCTCAAAATGTCTGAAATAGTTAATTTTTTACTAATTTTCAGTGCATTCTGGGCATTTGGGAAGGTCTTTTGAGGTTATCTTTTAAAAAACGCTTCTAAACGCAAACGCTCATAAACGCAGTATGCAAACGTGGCTAAACTGATGTTTTTTAACCTACGTTTTCCCGCAGTTTCCATTGTTCAGAAGAGTTGGCAAACTGTTGGCGCTATATATAAATCCTGTATAATAATAATAATAATTGTTTACATACAGACCTCTCCCCTGTCAGTGTTCCTCAGTGATCGCCAGGTGCTGATGGGGAAACTCAGGCCGGGACCCGGTGATTGACAGCTGTAGCTGCACACGCCCCCTACCCGGAAATACCAAATCACGTATATACACACACACGATTTTGCGCAGCCCTGCCACCCTGTAGCAGTAGTTCTGCTATAGGGTGGTCAGAGTTTTGTTTTTTTTCTTTAAAATAACAAATTTGTCATACTTACCTGCTCTGTGCAATGGCTTTGCACAGAGCAGCCCCAATCTTCTTCTCGTGTCCCTTGCCGATGCTTCTGGCCCCTATCTCCTGCTGAGTACCTCCAGGGCAAGCTGCTTGCACTAGGGGCCCTTGTGCATGCTTGAACCTGAGCCCCCTCTGTGTGTCTATGGAACACACAGTGTGGCTCAGCCCCACCTCCCACTCCTCCCTTACTGGATATGATCAACAGCAGCAGCAACCTTACCATTTCTCAGCCAAGAGAGAGAGACCCGAGAGAACATCAGCTCTCGAACACAGTGCTAGATCAGGATCGGCCTCAGGTAAGTATTAGCGGGGCTGAAGGGGGAGCTGCACACAGATTTTTTACCTTCATGCATACAATGCACGAAGGTAAAAAAAAAAAAAAAAACCTTCAGCCTTTACAGCCACTATAAAGGAAGATGGACTGAGCTGCATCGAAATGCTGACATTAAATGCTGTGGCTTCAATTTATCTATACTGCACAACCTTCAAGTGCCGCTATACTGGTTCCTGATACAGATATAAGATGTGCGAGCCAAAAAAAAAAAAAAAACCTACAGGACATTCCAACCGCAGAATATTCTGTTCCAAACTGTGGGTGTCATATTGTGGCATGCATCTGGCTTTGATTCTAAAGAAAACTTTGGCAAGTACTAAGACTTTCAGGACTGAGGAGAATGTGGGAACACTTTGAAGATTCATCTGAAATTTTATGGCAGCATGTGTATTGCCAGAAGCCAAGACACTACACACAACAGTACATACAGCAGGTGTTTATCAATAGATAAGACAACCTACATGTTTTATTGTAGGATGTAAACATATAAATGGTTAAAAAAAACCACTTTAACCGCTGCCCACCCCCAAGTGCTGCAGCAGAGCGGCAGCTACAAGCAAAGCGACGTACCCCCCCTCTCGACTGCGTGTATCCAGTTGACACAGCGGAATGAAGATCCCGGTGATCATATGATCGCTATGTGATCGTATGATCACAATGTAAGCAAAGCTGTTATGAATCAATCTCATTCATAACAGCTCTGCTTCTTTTCCTAGTGAGCTGTGATTGGTCCACAGCTGTCACATGATACATTGGGTCAATCACAGCCCCCTGTACCAAGTGACCAGCTCCAGCCAATCACTATCCTGCGCTTTCAAAACTTGACTTCATGAATGAGTTAGGTTCTGACAGCAAGCTTTGCATTGCAGGAGAAATGATCTTTATTAGCAAAAAAAAGAAAAAACAAAAATTCCTGATCGCCCCCCCCCTACTGCGTGACGTAAAAAATGTCAATAACCACCATTTTATTCTCTAGGGCCTCTGCTTTAAAAAAATATATATAATGTTTGGGGGTTCAAAGTAATTTTCTAGAAAAAAAAATGTTTTTTCATGTGAACAAAAAGTGTAAGAAAAGGCGTGGTCTTCAAGAGCGGGCGATGTGTGGCACAAGCTTCTAATGTTGGCCCTGAAATGCCAGGATAGTAGAAGCAACACCTCCAAAAGACCCCTTTTTGGAAAATAGACAGCCTGGAGGTCATTGGATTTTGGGGGCTTGTATGTAGCTAGGCTGCCAAAAAGTCTCTCACATGTGGTATCCCCATACTCAGAAGTAGGAGAATGTGTTTTGGGGTGTTATTCCACATATACCCATTGCATGCATGAGCAATATATCATTAAATTGACAACGAACTGTAAAAAAAAAAAATAAACAAAATTGTCATTCAAAAAATTTGTGGCTAAAAATAAAATGTTCCATGGACTCAGCATGCCTCTCTGCAAAAACCTTGGGATGTCTACTTTCCAAAAAAAGGGATCATGGGGGGGGGGGAAGGGGGGTGGACTACCCTGGCATTTTAGCACCTCAAGAAATGTGATAGGCAGTCAGAAAGTAAAAGCTACGTAAATTCCAATATATATTTTCTATACACACACAGCATAGTTTGTAGATGTTATAACTTTCACACAAACCAATTAATATACATGTATTGAGATTTTTGTTTTGTCAAAGACATAAATTTAGGCTAAAATGTATACTGCTACATGACTGAGTTTATTGGATATTTTTTATAAGCAAAAGTGAAAAATATCGGGTTTTTTTTTCAAAATTTGCTGTCATTTTTTGTTTATAGCGCAAAAATTAAAAACCGCAGAGGTGATCAAATACCACCAAAAGAAAGCTCTATTTGTGTGAAAAAAGGACATATATTTCATTTGGGTACAGCATTGCATTACTGTGCAATTAATAGCGCAGTGCCAAACAGCAAAAAAATGGCCTGGTCAGGAAGGGGGGTAAATCCTCAAGCGGGCAAGTGGTTAAAGTGGTTGTAAACCTCAGATATGAAATATGAACAAAGCATATTCCTCTATAGTATGTACTTGTCTCAATTTAGAGTACTAAGTGTCATTTCTGTCTGCTGCTTTGTTCCTCTGCCTATAAGCATGAGTCACTTCTGACAAGTTTTCTGACACCAAGAGAAAAATGGTGATGGGGAGGGACTTTCAGTAGATTGACAGCCTGAGCTCTGTACCTGTGTGGAGGGGGAGAGGGTGTTCCTTCCCTCCAAACAGCTCTCAGAGCTCAGAGATCCTGTGCAAATTCTGCACTTTGAATGGATGTCAGGGAAAGATGGATGTAGATGAACAGGTACAACTTATGTAGGAGGCTTTGTTTCAACTATGTGTATCACCTGAGGCCAGTTAATTCACTGGGTATATGTAAGGGTTTACAACCACTTTAAGATTCAGTTACAACAGTTATTTATTGTTCTAAACAGGTTTGTCCCATATGGATTATTCTATTTGTATTTATTTTCATGGCATTATTTACACTCTACTGCAGTAAGACAGACACATACAATAGGGGGGGTCTACTCATAA